ACCAAGAGTGTTGTCTTCCCTCCCAAAATGTTTCAATTACCCAGTTGTTGAAAGCATTTCAGGAATTTTTGGGTAGAGTTCAAGAACAAATTTGTTTTGAGAAGTCTTTGCTTTTTAGCTATGTAGCAAATTCATGAAAATGTGTCTCACACAACACATGCTTTGTAACATTAATGCATGTCTATATTTTACAAAATAAGATATATTGGAAATTGTTATGGCATGACCAAATTTTAGAAATTTCAGAAACAAGGTGTTATAGAGGCATTGCTTTATGCTCCTGGATTTCATATACAAAGCTTATATAGTGGTGATGCATCAAAGACTGATAAAAATGGTTCATCTGTTCCTATTTAAAAACCACAAGCCATGTGGCACAAACATTTTGTAGGTCAACTGAAACTGGGAATATGTGTCATATAGTCCAACAGTATAAGAGATAGATGCTAGTATGGCAAAGGAAGAAGAGAACAATCTATTGTTCCCTCTTGAGTGTCCTTCTATTAGTGATGGGTTTGTTCTCATTATTTTTAAGGGTGATGTGCCTCAACAAACTATTAAACACATCATATTCACAAAACCAAGATTGGGTTCAAATACGAACCAGTAATAAACATCTTCACATGACTAACTATCCACATAGGAAATAAGGCATATGCTTTCAGTAACACAAATTACAATGCAAGTTTTATTGGAGGAAAAACATGTATTATATCTACATTGTACTCTCTTGTGTTAATCTATCATATAAATGAATATCATAATGAAATTTGTTTTATAAATAATAGATATAGATAAATAGAGAGAAATAGGGATATATAGGTAAAGAGAGATGTGGAGAGAAGAATAAAGCAATGAAGGGATAGAGAGAGCAATGGAGAGGAATATCATAGTGAAATCTATTTTGTAAATAACAAATAAAATCTTTCTTGTTTTGTTTTGTTTTAGTTCATTTTTATTTTGAATGTATGATTTTTTCTAAAAGTGGTTTGCTTCACCCACTCCTATCGTATAGACACACATGGACACTCAAGCAAGCCCTTTACAAGAGGATGTATTAAGTGAATCAGCCACTTGGAGTAAGGCCAAAGAGAGGACATTTATAAAGTTGATGGTTGAGTGATGAAGGCACATAACAGACCAATCTCAACTTTTAATATTGAATGATGGAGGAATATCATAGAGAATTTCAAGAGACACAACAAGTCGTACACATGTGACTAATTTAAGAACAAGTTCCATTTCTCAAGAAAAAAATTAGTGATTACAGAAAATTGTGAATCACACAGGGGTCACCATAGATCTAGTTACAAAGAAACTGAGTGCTAGTGGAAGTGTGTGGGACTATCTTATTTTGGTAAGAATGTTATACAATTATTGAGATGATTATTAGGTGTTTTAATTTCCTAGGATACTAACTACAAGTACACTTCATACAGAAGAATAAGTGTGCAAAGTAAGGAATGATTGTCCATATCTAGAGGAGTTGAAKMTCATATATTCAGGGACTAGTGCTATTGGTTTTACATCAATGGATAATGTTGAAACCCTTCAGACAATGAATTTGACCACATGCCTATGACACAGGACCATGTGGGCAACAATTCTCCCAATGGCATATTCTTTCCATGTGCATCTACTCCTGAAACCCCTAGTGCTGACATTGATATTGAAGTTAATCCATAAATAAATAGATTGGGGTTCCCCTCCCATCATCCCTTAAGAAAGGTAAGAGGGCCAGGCAAGTCATAGATATCTTACCTGCAATGAAAGAATGGTCTGAAATGAACAAGGCTAGGAAGAAAATGATTGAATTTGATCTGGAGAGGAAGGTGATGGAGGATATAGAAAAGGAGAAACAACAAAAAAATGAGGCCTCAGTGGATGAGTGCATGGAAGTAGTGAACAAGTATTTGATGATGAAAGCTATTAATGTTGGTCATGTTCTGAAGTTTTTGAAAATGACTATTGGAGGAAGACATTTATAAAATTTACCACTGAATGTCAAATTCAGTGGTTGAGAAACCTTTAGACATGGGTAGACATTCTCTCTCTCTCTCTCTCTCTCTCTCTCTCTCTCTCTCTTTAATTATGTATAGTCATATGCCTTAATTGACTTATGCATGGATTGTCATTTTGTTATCCTTTTTGTTTGTTTAAAGCTTATAAGGGAACACCCTCATGGTTTGGATTTATGCTACTTTGTTATATTGTGACTAAATTAGACCTCATTATTTTAAAATTTCATGAATGATGTTTTATTTTAAATTTACATTCACTATTATTTAGAGTATTTTGGAATGTCATTGTTATGTTTCTCAGGACTCAATTCAATGGATAACAACAGTGTTATTAGTGGAATTCTGTTTGAATCATGGGATGACTATAATAATGAATTGTTTGAATTGTTATTTGTGAATGAATTGGTGAAATACAATAACACATATTTTGTGAAGCAACCCTTTTGTACTTCACAAATGAGTGGGCATGCATTCATTCGTGAATTCTTAGATATTTTAAAACACCCAAACAAAATGTATGATGCATTTAGAATGGAGATGCATGCATTTAAGAACTTTGCAAATCTTTTGAGAAAGCGGGGCCTTATGGAGAGAATACACAGAATATTACAACTGAGAAATCTCTTGTAATTTTCCTCATAACTGTTGGCCATAATGAATGCTTCCATATGATGGTTAAAGGGTTTCAACATTCAAAGAGCACAATAAGTTACCACTTTAAGAAAACTTGTAAAGCCATATGTAGATTTGAAAGAGAATTGATTTGTCCACCATCATTTGAAGATGTGCACCCTCATATTAGACACAAAAATATCATTCAATGGTTTTAGGTATCTAACTAGTGTCTTCTAACATGTTTTGTTGTTTCAATGTATAATATATCATGTGACTTTAAGAAAACTTGTAAATCCATATGTAGACTTGAAAGAGAATTGATTTGTCCACTATCATTTGAAGATGTGCACCCTCATATTAGACATAAATATTATTCATGGTTTTAAGTATCTAACTAGTGTCTTCTAACATGTTTTGTTGTTTCAATGTATAATATATCATGTGTTGACATTATGTATATTTGAATAGGATTGTATCRGTGCAATAGATGGCACCTATATAAGTGTGTGGGTTCCACTTGAAGAGCAAATACCATATAGGGGAAGAAAGTCATGATGCACCACAAACGTATTAGTAATGTGCTCATTTGATATGCAATTCACTTTTGTTTACATAGGGTGAGAAGGATCTGCACACAACTCTAGGGTGTTTGTAGAAATTGTTTCGTCCCCACCTAGAATTCCTCCATCCTCCTCCAGGTAATATTACATAGTTTGTTTATTTGGTTAAAATCAATTTTAAAACGAATTTATGGGTGATGATCGTCTTACATGTTATGTAGGAAAATATTATGTTATAGATAGTGGATCCCCAAGTGGGCTTGGATATATAACCCCTTATGTTGGTGAATGATACCACTTGAATGACTTTTTAGAGGACATCGTAGGTTTCAATCAAAGGATTTGTTCAATTACAAACACTCGTCATTGAGGAATATTACAAAAAGGTGTTTTGGTATATTTAAAGGGAAATTTCCCATCTTGGTGAATATGCCATCCTTTGAGATACGTATGCAACGTTACATTGTAATGACATGTTTTATCACCTATAACGACTTTATTAAAAGAGAAACTATTCATGATCAAAATATTGAAAGATGGTCAAAGGAAGATATGACTAACGAGGATGGTACCAATGATGATGATGATGATGATGGTTATATGAACACATCAACAACCAATATTAGGGACTATAGCAAATTGGATGTGGGAGCAATACTGGTCTTTTGAGTTTGATGTTTGAATTGATGTTGTAACATGGTTAACTTTTATTTAGACACTTGTATGTCTTTGATATTTGTTTTTAAATTGAACACCATGTTTGTTTATACATTAGACATACTATGATATTATAATATCATGCACTGTTATTCCCCATTTTATGCATGAGTTAAGTCAATATTTGTTGTTATATTGTTAAATTGATATATGGATGGCCGATCATGTTTGAAAGTAGTTATTTTTAATATTTTAAATCATAGTTAATCAATTTTATTATATTATTAGTTATTATTTTTAGTTCTCCTATGTATTTATTTTATATTTTTATATTACTTTTATTTTTTGATTAATATTAGTTTTTTAAATTAATTATTATTTTATTAATTTTATTATCAATATTAATTATTATTTTACTTATATTATTATTATTATTATTTTTAAATTTTTGATCAATATTAATTTTTTAACTTTTTTAATTTTTATACTTAAAATTTTTTTAATTATATTATTATTATTTTATCACATGTTAAATTAATTCATATTACTGATTTGCATTTTGCTTAAAAACACCAAAAAATATTAATCTTGATTGATGGCGTGGATCACCTCACATTGTGTATATGAGATACAAGGAATCAAAATACAAGGTGTGGCCTGAACCACACCACACCTTGCAGAGCGCCTATGTAGGTGTGGTGTGGTTCGGACCACCAAATTGTGACCACAGTATAGAACATCCATTCTGCTATGGTGTGGTATGGTTGAGGCCACACTACAACTTGTGGTGTAGTCTCAACCACACTGCCCAATTTCTCAACCACACTACAAATTACCCCCTTAGTTGCCTTATCTCCATAAGTGGGAATAAGCAATTCCAGGTTACGAGCCAAATTCTTGAATCCTTCAAGAGTCTTACATTTCCATAGTGGATCTTCCTTCCCATTGGAAACATAATAAGGGCTTTCTTGTTGGGTCATTTTTCGTTACCAACCATGCTGCCATGGAGAAGATTGATCAACCATCAGGATGGACACAACACAAGTTGCAGCTATATTTCACATCTTATAGTTCATGATAAATCTCCACAACTCATAATAGCACGCTGTTGGGCTTGATTTAGTCTTAGAGGAAAAAAAAAAAAAGATCCATCTTAAGAGGCGTTTCTTTCTTTTTAATATAAATTGTGATAACTCAGTAGTTTCATTCAACAACAAACCCCCTCCTCTCTTTTGAAGAAAAAGAAAAAGAAAAAGAAAGATAACCTACAAAATACCAAATTTTGTAAGTCATTGTCTCCTGGAAAATTATAGGTTTTTTCAACCCAGACCTCAAACAAATAAACAAACAAAAAAGAAGACCAAAGCTAAAGAACAAGTTTCACAAAAAGCAAAAAAACTCAGACCATATGATGGGCAATCCTTGTGAAAGTTAAAAATAGGGAGTAAACCTATTAAGACATACAACATGCAGACTTCTTTTCGTTGGCACGTTTCTCCTGGCCAGGGACAATTATCTTGGTTCCCTTGAGAAGTGTTGAATGTCCTGCTGTTTCTGCTTCATTTGCAACGAGTGTTTTTTTGCTTATGATTCGATAAATTTCTGTAAGGATTGTTAGGAAGGCATTCTCAACATTAGTTGCCTCCAAAGCCGATGTCTCCATAAAAAAGAGGTTTTCGCTTTGAGCAAATTCCTTGGCATCCTCGGTTGGGACCGTTCGAAGGGTACTTAAGTCAGACTTATTGCCAATAAGCATGATAACTATGTTCTTATCTGCATGGCCCCTCAACTCATCTAACCACCTTGTTACATGATCGAATGATTGGCGTTTGGTCATGTCATACACTAGCATTGCTCCCACTGCTCCTCGATAGTATGCACTTGTCACTGCTCGATACCTAAGCCACCACACATGAGATGTCCATAAAAACCAGAATTCATTTATTTGAATGTCAAAGTAATACTTGTAAAAGGTAACAGTATATAATATAAAATAACAAGTAAGAGGACATAAGCAATACAAGGTAAGAATTCTAGCATAAACAATTCTTTATCATAGATGGATTATAACAATTTAATATCCACTTCCAAAAATTCAGATTTGAAAGTTGAAATTGATTTATGTTTGACACCTTGGAAGCAAACACCAAATCACTGATATTCTCTCCCTTCAAAGAAAATAATTTTGACAAATAAAACACCTTCCTTTCTATAGTATATATGTTATTTCTTATTTATGCAAATTTCAACCAGTGGCTCGTGTGGAAGAGAGGCCAATATCCAGCCAATCCTCTCTAATCATATTGGTCAATAAGGAAGAATGCTTAACATTGAATTTAATTCAAACTCTAAAGTTGTTATGTTTCTACCTTCCTTCCACTTATTTTCGAATTTAAATGTATTCCAACCAAATTGGTCATCAAGAATGTTACATTCCCTCTTTGAGATTTGATCACAACTTTATATATTCAAAAGGTAAAAGGTTTTCTGTGGCTATGTTTGGTTAAAATTCTGATCCAAAGAATCATTGTTTGAATAATGAATTCCAAGCCAAAACTGATTTTTTTAAGATAATTTTTCTAGCTCATAAGAATCAATTCTTAGAATGAGTTTTGAGGTCAACAAAAGATAAAAAAAAAAAAACAAGAATTGGTTTCAACAATTTTCATAAATCCAAACTTAAAAAGGTTTCTTAGAATTTCAAAACAAATTCTCTAAAAGCATATGCCATATGTAGATTAAATAGCACCTATTCTCTTACTAGATCAGATGGTTCCAAACACATAACTAAAATAACTATTCTACCATTGTGGGCGCTTAAATAATTTCTTATTATTTCCACCTAAGTCCTTTTTCAGTCTGGTCCTTACCTCTTCTAGCCCCTTAAACATGTAGTAGATCACTTTTCCTAACAGGTGCTACAGATGGTCTTCTATTAATGTGACCAAATCATCTTAATCTACTTTCGCTCATTTTAGGAATCAACTTTTCTGGGTTGTGTTGTGATTTATGTAATCTTTTGTCATCTTGGAGAGAGCTAAGAGAGTTAAAGGTATCTTTACCAACCATTGGAACAGCTGAAGGAATTCTTATAATGTCATATTCAGAGGTGGTGGCATTGAAGGGAAAGGAAGTAGGGCAATACTCCTTGTCAATTCTATTCTAGATGCAGGAAGATGGATGGGAGTAGGTGTTCTCAAGGATTTATGGGCCAAAATGATTGGATAAGGGTGGGTCTTTGAGAGGAACTATGGGTTGTGAATGGGTGGCAAGAGGCATGAGAGGTTTTGCAGAATTTATGCATAGAAGGGATCTAGTGGATATTCCATTGTCGGGGGGCTAAGTATACATGGGTAAATAACCAAGAGAAGACAACCTTATTGAAGTTGGACAAGTTTGTGGTATTTACTAGGAGTGTAAATGAGCTGAGCTGAACTGAGCTGAGCCGAGCCAAACTTTGGAATGTCTTGGATCGGCTAGAGTAAAATACTACTAGGTTCGAGCTCGATTGAAACTCTATTTTCCGTTTTGAGCTCAGTTTGATTAAATATTCAATGGGATTGAGTTCAGCTTCATTGATTAAATATTCAATGAATAATTTTTTATTAGACAACAATATTCCCTTAGCTCCAACAAGAGTGATGTGAACCGACATTTGTTACTGAATAAACCTAGTTCATTATTGTTTCATGTGTATTATGGTATATTTTTGGGTCAATGTGTATTATGGTATATTTCTGTATAGTGCCCCTTAAGCTAGACATTCATGAGACATATATTAGCTTAAAATGTTCTCAACTGATTAATAAACTTGGGGAGTTTGTCATGCCAAGGCTGACACTCTTGTGCTACTGAAATGATGGAGCAGTCCGTCTCAATTGCTTAGGCTAGACCTAAGCTACAACTAGTGGGTGTTTGAGAAACACTGAACAAGACTATTTCCAATTAGACCCTAGACCCTAGAGACAAAGGGATAAAACTGGAAAGTTGCATTTAATCCCCTAACTTGATAATAATTCTATACTAGGAGTTGGACTGGTCTACTTTTGATGTGCCAACTAGTGAGATCCTTTTGAGGTCAAATACTTGGGTATATTGGAGTAGATTGGAAAGATACTTTGGTGAGTGATCATTGTCTAGGATCAACCACTTTGCCAGACAAAAAAAATATCACAGTTACACTCTTTTTAATTGAAACCTAAAACTTCCGGCAATTGATTTCAACTTGTTTTGAAATCAATTTTTTTTTTGCAAAATGTATTTATATTTATAAATATTGCAAATGGTTTTTGAAAGTCTATCTAACAATTTTAATCCCAGGATCCATTACGAGGAGAGGGTGTGCACTGCATTTGGCAGTTAGGGAAGAGGTCCTACCCTATTGGCATGTGTTATTATATTATTGATTGAGAGATTTTAATGCAAGTGTCTTCTTAGGCATTAAATATCTGATTAACTCATCCAAAATTAATAGTCTTGGGTTCATAGGGTGGCGGAGACCCAAAATAAAGTTTAATGGGCCAATTATTGGACCCAATACACTTGGGAGAATTCACGTGTATAGACACAAGTTGAATTCAGCCATGTGCAGGTTACATTTAAGTGTGGACCACTCTTATTAATTGGACTGAGCTCTTGAGGGTCCGGCACCACATGGACATCCTTTCTCATTGATCTTAATCCCTAAGGTTTTCTCTCATATACTTGGACAACTTTCTGACCTGTTCTTGGTGAAGGTCAAGGCATCCATCATTTAGGCTTATTTCAGAGGCAATTCGTTGATGGTACATCAGGGACAAAGGAGCAAACTTGGAGGTGTGCCATCTCCATCTCTAGCTTTGTAGCAGGGAGACAGCGATTGGGTGTTCCGGTGTGAACTACTACTTGGAAGATCTACGCTTGTGGACTATCAAAGCATCAGGTATAGGAATTTAGATTCTCTTCTTTAGGTCTGAGAAACCTTGATGGAAACCTTGGAGGTCAATCCTACATTCTTAGGTGAATTTTGGGTCGAAATACATAAATCGATATGCTGGAATTGTTTTCAGCATGTCACAAATTTTTAAATTGAAATTTTCCCATCCAGTACCATCAAATGCCGACCTTTGTTCGTTTTTATATTTTATAAATATATGATATTTTTATAATATATAGTATATTCTTATATTATAAATAAAATATAAAAATATAATTCTTTCATAATATATACTATAAAATATATTTTTATATTCTATACTCAAGCCAGCCTTGCGAGTTTTCAGACTTGATTAGAATCAAACTTGAACAGAGACTAATTGAACTTGAGCCCGAACTATTCGATTAAAGCTCGATTTGATTGCACTTTGCACCCCTAGTATTTACTGAATGTAAAGACAAATTTGGTCAGTTGTCTTGATAGTGGGGGAATCCATCCCAAACTAACCCTCCTCTTTAGGGTTTGAGAATTCATGGTTGGAAGAGGAAGGATTTGTGGGATTATTGGTGGTGTGGTGGTCCCATATGAAACTTGAGAGTCGGCTAACCACATCCTAAGAAAGAAGTTAAAGGGTTTGAAGGAGAGAATTGAGAAGTGGAACATGGAAGTTTTTAAAGGGGTAGGGATCAAAAGAAAATATCTTGAAATAATAAAGGAAGTGGATAAAATTGAAAGAAAAGAGTCTCATTGTAGAAGAGGATAGGAGGAGAATACAAGCTAACCAAGACTTTGATAAGCACACCTACCAGAGACAATGAAATGGAAACAAAGGTCCAAATGTTTTTAGTTTGGAGGTCATAAAAACATCAAATTCTTCTACAAAATGGCAAATGCTAGAAGGAGAAAAGTGGTGGAAGATGAATCCAGAATACAGACTACATTATTGAATTCTACTCAAACTTATATAAAGAAGTCTGGAAGAGGAGGCCAAAATCATATGTTTGGAATTTAGTAGCATTTTTGAGTAGGCAAGAGATCTGGAAATACGTTTTGAGGAGCAGGAGGTATGAAAGCAATTAATGAGATGGAAGGGGATAAATCTCTGGGTTCAAATGGGTTTAGAATGAAGTTTTTTAAACAATGTTGGGGGTTTCTAAAGGAGGACATAATGAAAGTGTTGCTTGAATTATAAAAATCAAAATGGAATTTCCACATTCTATAGTTGGCTCCATTCAGTTTAGCAAGAATGGTTTCAGTCTTATCATATATCATCTCAAAGAAAAACAACTCTGAAACCTGATCTTGTAGAGGAATAAAATCTGATTTAACAAAAAACAATATATGGCATGTTCTCCTGGGATTTGTGGGCTATTGAAGTTTTCAGAAAGTTCTCCAATTATTTGATGTAAAGAATGGAACGAGAGGAGAGAAAATTTCACGCCGGCGGGGAAGTGGAGGTTGGAGTTGGTTATTGAATCTAAGCATTTCTTATTTGAGCAGGGATGGACAAGAGGTAAGGCATATCTGAAAATCAGAGAAGGTAGTAGGGCAACGATATTCATACCAGAGGAAGCATGTCTTTGGTTGAAAGGCTTTGTTGATGGAACAGTAAACACTACCAGGGAAGAAGGTTGGAAAAACTCAGTGGCCTGTTGTGGGAAGAGCTATGAAACGGTACCGAGAAGGAATGGAAGAGGATGGTTTATCAATGGTAACAGAACACTTTGACAATAACAAAAAACAAATGATTTGCATACCGGAAGGACAGAGGGGACAAGGCTGGGCTTCCTTCGCCAATAATCTACAGGCGTTTCTTTTAGAAATTGAGAGGAAGGTTGCAGAAGAAACTGATAACAGTCCGAGTGAAAGAGTTCCAATGAAACGTTGTACTCTGGAAATCAACGAGCAGCAAAGGCCATTTCGTCAAGAAATCATGGTAGCAAGCTCAACAGGACAACGGAAGGTTGCACTTGAAGAAGGGAG